CTGCTGGGACTGCAGCAGCATATTTCTCACTAGCTTCCAGTGGGGCTCCTCCTTCAAGTATTGCAGGAAATTTATAGAAAAAGACCTCTATCCCACAAGGAGTCTAAAGACTTACACCTGGCATTATTGCCTTTTAAAACAGTAGGCATTCAGCTAGGGGTTAAATTAGCTGCATTCTATACTATCTATGTTAACGTTAGATTATTTCTCCCACCTAAAATTCTTAATTCTCCATTTAGCTGGTGGGTAAACATTGGGACCAGAAACAGACTACCAACACTGCACACCATAAAGCATTTTGACAAATCTGACTTCCCTACCTTTTGTTGAATGGAAGAATACAGCTGACCCAGACTTACTAAAAGAGCAAGAATCATTATCTCAGACCTTAATTTGAAAACATGGAAGCAAAATTTGAACTACATTGAATTTCAGAGGTTACTGCTTTACTGTGTGTACATTGCTCTCCTCGGTGTAACTCAACTTTCAGAAAGCTTGTTCCTGAACAAAGCTTCAAGTAAGACTGCTGAAATGCAGATAGGAGCTGAAGATCAGAACACTTCATACAGCACTGTGGAAGACAAATGTATAGAAAATACATTCACTCTTTCTTCTTTTTCCTTTAGCCCCTTTAAAAAATTGAGTTAGACTGCACATAAGAACAACTATATTTCTAAAACTGCAGGGGAATTCTCAATAGGAAAACCAATTTCTTTCCTACCAACTCTGAAAAAAACTTGCAGCTGAAAGTTGGCTGAAAAAGAACTTGTAATAGTGTCAGGTTGATTTTTTGACATGAAGCTCTTGCAGTCCAATAGATCCAGAAACTGATTTTGAATATTTTATTCAGAATGGAGTTTCCTTTGAGGCTGCTCCTCTCTTTTCAGGGATAGGAGAGTACTTGCCTACTCATGTTTAGGCAGTTCAATGAAATAGGGAGAGCAAAGAAAAGGAGGTAGAAGAGTGAACTGAGTGAACTCCTACTGCTTCCAGCAGGATGCAGGTTTTTGTCCTTGGTACTGAACTTTGGAAACACCAGGGCAAATTTTCAAAACCATGTGCTTAGACTACCTGTGCAAGACGCAGACCCAAATCCTTGGACTGGCAGTCTCAGGCATATTCTCACGGCCACAGACTCTGTGCATGCGCTTTCCGTCTAGGTGACAGGCTGTGCAGCTACCGTCCCTCCCTAAGCAGCACACAAAGCCAGACGACTGAAACAGTTCAGTGAACCCAACTCCCCTGGAAATACATATGCTGTATTTTAAGCACCGTTTAAACCACTGTGTCACAAGCACCTCCCTCCTCTTACGAGATACTAATGAAGAATAAACATTGTTTATTTAACCTTAATGAAGAGTGCATGCAGGGAGAAAGAGCACTGAGCAGTAAGAACTTTTAAAAACCTTCGCAAGTGTGTTGCGAGACCTTCCTTTCTGGGCCATTGCACAATTGTCTGCCTGGTTTTCTCCGGTGACACATTCCTTCATCAGGAAGTGTTTTAAACAGTCTGTACTTTGAGTAGGTGTCAACATCATTGATTACTGCTCTTCATGACAATCTCCAGGTGCAGAAGGCAAACTGGCCTTTGCATTAAACAACTACATGTGGTAAGCTATGCAGCTTTCTCCTTGGAGGTTCCTGTTGTGCTGAATCATCAATGTCTATGCAAAGGCTTCTCTGAAATAAGTTGCTTTTGCCAAGAAGTTTATGTGCAGTCCCAACCCAGGATCTCTTACCACAAGACAACAAACAAAATTTTAATATATGACAAATTTTAAAAATCTTTGGCTTTTTTCTAGCTACTCTGTGTATTTTCTTCTTTAAACCAGGTGGGACAGCCATTTCTAATCATAAGAGGTAAGACTGAAAGCCAGGCAATGCAAAAGAGTTTGGAGGAGTGTATTACATTTTGCCAATGCTCCCTAAATGAACACTTTTTGTAATACTTTGTGAATTCTGATCATACTTATATATATTCTCCATTAAATATACTATATTTCTGAAGTAAAAAGATGAAATGAAATAATTGATTTTCCATAATAGGGAGCACTTTTAATCTGTCATTTCTAATATTTTTGTAACAGTCAAAAAACCTAATTTGCCAT